AGACGAGCCGACGGTCGAATTTGAGCGGGCGAGGCTTGAGTGGCCCCCCCTGGGCGAAACCCATCGCAGGCAAGCGCTGCCGTTGCTGCCTCCGCCGCCGCCGCTGCTCCTCCTGTTGTTGTTGTGACCCCTGTGCATTAGGCAGTCGTTTGGCTTTGTTATCTGCCATTAATCTCGAGCGTCAAATATCAATGAATTAATTCATGGCGGGACCAAGGCCTGCCACCGGGGGAGCCGATGTCTCACGGCAAGAGAACTTAGCGGCGTTCATCGACTGTTCGCAGCCCTAACTAAGCCGGTTTGGGAAAATCCCACATTCCTATTGATGGGCGAAAGTCTCAACAAGTAGATGATCTGCAATTGCTTGCTCATGTTACTGCTGGCAGAAGGGCGTCCGCGAGAGGGCAAAATCCAGAGAGTCATCCTAGAGGGCCGCTTCTTGGAAGAGGTGGGGGTACCCACACTTTACCCCATCGCGCGCAACCTGCCGATCCACTTACCGTTGTGTGCTTATATATATTACCGAACCCATCTTTTTTTTATATATTTTTTTTATCAGGCAAGTCCCACTGAGCTATATAGCTCTTTTTCAGAAGCGACCTGGCCACAAATGATCGCTCAATGAAGTGGCTTACCGTGTGGAAATGTATAGCGGGAGGGAAAACCCGGAGGGACCCAGAGAAAAATCCACGCGACCACGGGGAGAACATGCAAACTCAAAATATACAGCAGGCGTCAGGGTCAGGATGGAACCCACGACTTCCTGTATACCGGGCGACGTAGTTAACATCTCGCCACCGTGGAGAGAGTTGCGGGGGGGGGGGGGAGAGCAGAATTGGGGGGAGGAGCGGGGAGTTGATAAACGTACCCCATTGTCATTGTTCCAATTGGCCGCCGCGTGCCGGGAGTAGAATGAACCGAACCGGTAAACAATTAACCGAACCGGTAACCTCAGGCGCGTCCTCGCTGTTACACCCCCTTCCCCGCCGGCTTCGGGAAGCACTTTAGAGATTCCTCGTGACAAGTCGCGGAGAGCGAACAGGCGTGCTTGGCACCCACACACGCACGGGGAAGATCGTCGGTCAACGTAATTGGACGTTGACAATAGACGTTGACAATAGACGTTAATTGACAATAGACGTTAATTGAAAATGGACGTTAATTGGTAAACCAACGCGCCACTGCCTCGGCAGCCGGGGGGGGGGGGGTTGTGGGGGGGGGGTTGTGGGGGGGGGGGGCACCTGCGCGTTCATTAAGGGGGAGTTTTGGTCACGGACGGGTGGATCGCGAGACGCGAGTGACCACCCACAACAAGACACGGGCACACAATTCAAACACTTGCACCGCCCCCTCCCCCGCGCCCATCAGCTGAAGAGGAAATCGTTCCTCCGGTAAACACGCGGCGCAGACGCTGGAAACTGTTGATTATAATTAATGAGATAATAGATCACGAGGTTTCGATCGCAACACAAGCAATCGTCACCAGGTGGGACAACCACAGCAAGAAAAAACTGCTGAAGTAGCTACTTCAGAAGTATTTTTCTTGCTGTGGTTGTGTTGCGATCGAAACGTCGTGATCTATTATTTTTCTACCTTCGTGACTTTACCGAAATAACCAAAGCGTATGGATTCCTGCAGTCACGAAAGCTTCAAATCAAGATATAATTATTGAAGTAATTGCAACGCCCCACCACCCACCCCAGCATGCTTTGCAAGTCAAGATGACATCGTCAATCCAGCTGCGCAAATCTACCGACTGTCACACATTTATACATCGCGACCTCGACAGGCTGGGCTCGTGCAGTGAAGGTGGGTGAGTGGTGGGTGAGTGGTGGGGGGTGGGTGAGTGGTGGGGGGTGGGTGGTGGGGGGGAGGGGGGGAGTGGTGGGTGGGTGAGTGGTGGGTGGGGGTGCCCACAATATATGGTCGTATTCGTACCCAAAACCCCGTCATCTCCATGAAGACCGAGCGTCAAGCCCAATCGCTACAGCTTACGTTATCATTGTTTTGTGTGCGCTCAGGCAATCAGTAACCCGTCGGGGGCACAAATAGTGCGAACACCACAGCGAGGCGTGAACGCAAGCACCGCTAAAGGGAACGGAGTCCGCGTGGGAGCGGTGGCGCCGTGGAGGGCAGCAAGAGACGGGGGGAGGGCAGCAAGACACTGGGGGTGGAGGGCAGCAAGAGACGGGGGGGTGGAGGGCAGCAAGAGACGGGGGGGGGGGAGGGCAGCAAGAGACGGGGGGGAGGGCAGCAAGAGACGGGGGGGAGGGCAGCAAGACACTGGGGGTGGAGGGCAGCAAGAGACGGGGGGGTGGAGGGCAGCAAGAGGGGGGGGGGGGAGGGCAGCAAGAGACGGGGGGAGGGCAGCAAGAGACGGGGGGAGGGCAGCAAGACACTGGGGGTGGAGGGCAGCAAGAGACGGGGGGGTGGAGGGCAGCAAGAGACGGGGGGGGGAGGGCAGCAAGAGACGGGGGGAGGGCAGCAAGAGACGGGGGGGAGGGCAGCAAGACACTGGGGGTGGAGGGCAGCAAGAGAGGGGGGGGGAGGGCAGCAAGAGACGGGGGGGGAGGGCACAGAGACGGGGGGGGGGAGGGCAGCAAGAGATGGGGGGGGGAGGGCAGCAAGAGACGGGGGGGGAGGGCAGCAAGAGACGGGGGGGGAGGGCAGCAAGAGACGGGGGGGGGGAGGGCAGCAAGAGAGGGGGGGGGAGGGCAGCAAGAGACGGGGGGGGGAGGGCAGCAAGAGACGGGGGGGGGGAGGGCAGCAAGAGACGGGGGGGGAGGGCAGCAAGAGAGGGGGGGGAGGGCAGAGCAAGAGACGGGGGTGGGAGGGCGACAGCAAGGACGGGGCGGGAGGGCAGCAAGAGACGGGGGGCGAGGGGCAGAAAGAGACGGGGGGGGAGGGCAGCAAGGAAGTGGGGGGGGGGCAGAAGCAGACGGGGGGGAGGGGCAGAAAGAGACGGGGGGAGGGCAGCAAGAGATGGGGGGGGAGGGCAGAAAAGAGACGGGGGTGGAGGGCAGCAAGAGGACGGGGGTGGGAGGGCAGCAAGGAGACGGGGGGGAAGGGCAGCAAGAGACGGGGGGGAGGGCAGCAAGAGACGGGGGGGGGAGGGCAGAAAGAGACGGGGGGGAGGGCAGCAAGAGACGGGGGGGGGGGAAGCAGAAAGAGACGGGGGTGGAGGGCAGCAAGAGACGGGGGGGAGGGCAGAAAGAGACGGGGGGGGAGGGCAGAAAGAGACGGGGGGGGGGAGGGCAGCAAGAGACGGGGGGGGGGGGGCAGCAAGAGACGGGGGGTGGAGGGCAGCAAGAGACGGGGGTGGGGGGGGGGCACTGCCAGGCTCGTGGCGTTTCTGGGCGGCGTGGAGACGCGGTCGGAATTTTTTCTGTTCACGATGCGCGGTTATCTTCTTTTTTTATTTAAATGAAGTTCGCAATTTATTTTGGTTACCCCCGCCGCCCCTCCTCACCCCAACATACCCTCTCTTATTATATGCGGGGTTGGTGGGGAGGGCACGGTAGAACCACCCACGTGTTACATCGAGGACAAACTATACAGTTATACAACACGCGAAACAAAACGAACTCAGGGTCTTAGTGGGGGGAAAAAAATCGAGGCGATCACCGCCTTCGATGCTTAACCGTACGCTGGGAAATCGATCCCAGGGCGCTGGAACATCACAGCGCAAGTGCTGCGCTAACCACTGCGCCAACCGCTCCCCCGTTTCAGTGAGGGAGGGAGGTAGCGGGGAGGACTATCTGAAGAGGAAACTTGAGATAGGCAAGCAGGAGCGCACGGCCGATAAAAGGAATCGATTCGCATGATAGATGGGCATCATTGATCCTCACCACGCCGATCCTATGTCCAACGAGCCGAGCACTGATCGATGAAGGGGAGTGATACAAAAAACAACAAATACGCTCTCAATAATCTTCACAATCGTCGAAGTAACTTCGCAAGCCGCGTGCACGCACAACCAGAAGACATGCCGCGCTCAATACACTTTACGCAAATGCGTAAAAAGTTGAACTAAACTTTCAAGACGGCATTACCTCACGCCCAAATGCAGCACCATTGTCATCTTGCACACTCCCAGCTCACCAGACACCAGTGACCTATAGCTTCCCGCTGCCTCCCTCATTTAATCGACAATTATAAATCAGGAGGCCACAGAATTCGTCACAGCAAAAACTATTTTTTTGCTAAAGTATACGAACGGTACACGTGACATTGTTAGTGCTCGACTCGGTGTGTGCACACACAAACACACGCACGCACGCGCGCGCGCAAAGTCGAGAAGAATCCCAGCAGCGAAACTCGCGGATAATGAAGCAACGCGACCAGCAACGAAAGTTGTCGGGAAACTTGTTGCGCGCGACGCGCTGCGCCTGCGGTGAAAGGAAGGGGTCGACTTTTCTCTCCGACTTTGAAGTGCCGAGCGAGACGTTTCTTCAAGACACCTCAAACCCTTGTACTCCTTGCGGGGACGCATCCACGACGGTAGATGGCTATCGAAGTTTTTTTGGTTTTTTTTTACCCACCAAATTGGAAGCGGGTGCCCATAAAAAAATAACGAACACAACCAAAGTCACATTGTCTCATAGAAAAAAAGTTTGTGGTCACCTGAAAACTCCCCCCCCCCCCATTCTGCTCTGCCTGGGGGAGAGGCACGTACAAATCACAGCAGACCTTTATTAAATCCACTGCTGGATGGATGCCCCCCCACCTCACGTCGTGTCGGTTGTGGGAAGTTGCTCGACCATACTTCACCACTTTGGTCAGTAGTGCGGGTTGGAGAAGTGGCGAGGGTGGGAGGGAAACAGTTTGTGCAGAACTGCTTCAGAATTCAGATATCACGAGCCACTGATGTGAGCCGTGGCCGGGGCATCGAACTCCGTCGTTCTCATACATACATACATACAAACAAAGGAGGGACACGCAACAGAAGGAGAAAGACGCCGAGCGAAGCGAACATGAGGTTTTAAACAAAGGTCACTCACTTGTTGATGTTTGTGATTGAGTCGAATGAGCCCTCTCTCAACGCGGGAGTGTCACGTTCTTTCGACGTCTCCTCGGGTGCGGCGCAGAGCGGAGTGAGTGTGCGAGAGTGAGTGAGTGTGTGAGCGTGTGTGTGCTCGTGGGTGCGTCACCGAGGCCTCTACACCCCCCCCTCACTCACTCACCCACACCCACCCAACCAGCCAGCCTACCACTTACCCCCTTACCCCAGCCAGCCTTTCTCTCTCTCTGTGCACCCCCCACCCTTCCACCGTTTACCCCCTGTGCCCTCCCTCCCTCTCCTCCTCTCCTCACCCTCTCCTCACCATACCTCGCTCGATGCTCCGCGCCTCCTCCGTGCCAAGCCGCGCTTAATCCCGCAAGACGCGAGCGCACTGCTTCGGCTCATAGTGCTGCTCAATGTGTGCGCGTGTGCACTCGACTCAGCCACACGCGAGTTACCTGGTGCGGTGCGTAAACATCGCCACTTGGGAGACAAAGGCGGCCGGGCGTGGTGCTGGCCCACCCACCCCCTCGTGTGCCGTGCCGGACTTCATAGGTGCTACTCGCTAATAGCACTTTCCTCAACAGTCTGTTACAGGCTATATGGGATGATCTTTGTCTTTGTGTCTATATGCAATATATTGTAAATGTGTTGGTCTTTGCTCTGTCCACTGCTGGATGATGACGAAGACCTCTTCCTCGCGCCGTGCGGGTCGTGGAAGTTGTTTGATCGAACTTCGCCACTGCGCTGGAAAGGATGACATGAGACTGGTGACACCATACAGAAGACTGGAGAAATCTGATGAGCAATGAAGCTCTTTTTGCCCACATATGTCCAATATTGGTGAGTCAGCGAGTCAAGGGAACGAACGCACTTGGAGCGATGAGATCAACTCCATGTGCAGGAGCGATCTGGACTGTGGCGTGGGAGGTTAAATATCGACGAGGTGACGACTGGCACCTCATCGCTAATCTCATCCACCGGCCATCATCCTCTATTCTATCCATCACGCGTCCGGCCCAAGCTCACTCACTTGGGTGCCACGGTGGCTAGGAGATGTTCACTGCCTCGCCTGGTATGCAGGAGTACGTGGGTTCGATCCCGACCCTGACGCCTGCTGCTGTATATTTCTCCCCCGTGGTCGCGTGGATTTTTCTCTGGGTCCTCCGGGTTTACCCTCCACATTTAGAAACACGTGTTTAGAGTATTTGGCTGCTGTACATTTCCACGCGATAGGACACTTCGTTGAGCTATCATTCGTGGGCCAGGTCGCTTGTGAAAAATATCTATACAGCTTAGTGGGCCTTACCTCGTGAAATAAAAATAGTTGTTTTAGTAGTTTCATTTCACAGTTACTATGACGACGGTGTCTAATAATCTTGACTTAAAGCTTTAGTGACTGCAATAATTCATATCATTTGGGCCTTTCGGTAAAGTCATGTAGATAGGTTCAAAGAAGACTACCGCTTGTGTTGCGATCGAAACGTCGTAGTTTTTTGTTTGTTATGTTCTTTGAATGTATTTACGTGACTTTACCGAAAGACCCAAAGAAGGCGATGTCGAAAACTTTAATTTTCTCTCTCAGCCGCTTGGTCCACCGTGATGGTGGGGACATTTTTGATTGCTAATCATTATGATTTAGATTATGTCCTTGCATCAGGTGAAAACATCTCAAGGAGAGTTCAATAAAGGAGGGCTGCTGTGCCCTAACTCGTTTCCCGCGTACGGTGCGAAAGAAGTTCCACATACATACAAACATACGAGTACACGATACGGTTGCGCACTCATAAATACCACGTGATTGTGCGCCACTGCCAAAACGGTGGCCAGTTGTCACTTGTCTCGATGACGTAGAATGCGTATTTACGAGGGCGAGGATTTGGTGGTGGTGGGGGGGGTGGGGTCAGCGGAAGATTTACCCAGCTAATCTGCGCCGCTGAGTATCCACACTCAAATCCCTCGTGCCTGCCTCGCCTCTTCCGCTCCTCCTCCTCTGCCTCCGTGTTCCACAAGTTCAGAGGCGACACGAGCCGGGGGAGCCTGAGGCTGCGGCATGCAGCGCAATCTGCTTTACACGTCGTGAACGTCGAGTTGGCGGCATCAAATATGAAGCCGCGATTTCCGAATCGGGCTTTGGGGACCCCCGGGGTTTGTCAAGGCACAATGTGCACACGGACACACTGTGGCACATTGTGGCACATTCGACTGCAGTCCATGAGCCCGTGCAGAGCGGATTTTTCACTCGTCGGTGCCAGCCAAAATTCGGCAGAGCTTTTAAGCCGTTCCAATGTCTGCACGTGGCCACTAATAGTGAACTGTGATAACCGCGTGTTACGAATGGGTTATCACATAATTGACTCCGATTTGCCATGTAAATCGGGATCTTTATTTAGACTGCAGGAGGAGGAATCCTGTGAGCTATGAAGCTCTTTTTCACAGATGTCAAATGTGGGCGGATAGCAAGTTGCAAGTTACGACAGCAAAATAAACACCAATAGCCACTACGATAAAGTTGTCCTACCCAAGGTGGCTGATCAGGCCCATGGACTAGAATGATTACTGGGCTTCCAACTCACGTTTTTATTTTTATTTCGAGTAAGTGTCGTGTATTCAATGCCAAATGCCCTACAAATAATTGTGTTGACGGATAAAAATGTGTACATTCTTAAAAAAACACAGTATCCAACTTGCACACAGGATGATAGTTTGATTAAATGCATTTAGGAAGCCGTTAATGAGTCTTAAGTTGAAATACGCCACACCTGACATATTTCATAAAATCGGTGATAGATCTTAAAAATAAATCAGCTCAATGTGATGGATTTCACCCAATCACAATAAGGTTGCTATTGTTTTAACAACGCAGAGATCACAGACCACAAACGTCTTTATTGACCATTACAGAATAACGATTCTGTAAGTTACTCGATTTGTAATAATACATTAGATATTAATTATACGAGTTTGGCTCTCCTACATCGTAATAGAAACCCCAGCGAGTTGTCTAATAAATGTAAGAACAAACAAAATCTCCAACACTTGACACACACATGTTACGGAGCCACGTAGAAGGGAAATAATAAAATAATATTAATATAGAACAATAAAAATTCTCACGACGTTTCGACTGCAACACAAGCAATCATCATCAGGTGTGAAATCCACAGAAAGAAAATTTGAAAAAAGTGTTTTCTTTCTGTGGATTTCACACCTGATGATGATTGCTTGTGTTGCAGTCGAAACGTCGTGAGAATTTTTATTGTTTGATATTAATATTATTTTATTATTTCCCTTCCACGTGACTTTACCGAAAGAACCAAGAATATGAATCCCTGCAGTCACGAAAGCTTTAAATCAAGATGTTACGGAGCCTTCGCGAAAACACTGTTTTGCGTCTTCCAACGGCGACACGCAAGGCAATGAATGGCTCCCTTAACGTGCATTCAAATTCAAGTTCGTACCAAATGAAGAAGACATTTGCACCTCAAGTCTGTCAATCCCGCACGCCGCCTCCAACCTCTCTCTCTCCCCACGAGGCCGCAGTTCATTGTCGCGACGTGTCCATCGGCTTTGATGAAGAGTCCCTGGCCCCCCTATCTCGTTTCCACAATTAGAGGGCAGCGGAATGCGTAAGTCGGGCGCGCTAATCGGCCCCCAGAAAGCCTCACCTCGATAAACCCAGGACCGTCCCTGCCACCAAAGACAAAGATCCCCCGTGTAGCCTTAACAGACTGTTGGGGCAAGTGCTGTTAGCGAGCACCTATGAAGGCCGGCACGGTACACGAGGGAGTGGGTGGCCAACACCACGCCCGGACGCCTTTGCCTCCCCCAGTGGCGATGTTTACACAGGTACTCATTTGAGGCTGAGTCGACCTAGGGGGGGGCACGACCAGTTCAAATAATCGTCACTGGTGTTGTGCCGTGAGCAGGAGTCTAATTCGGGTGGCCGAGGTTCGTAGCGCAGCGCGCTAACCGTTACACTACCGCTCCCTGCCGCCACCACCACCACCACGGATTTTTAGCTTGTCAGGGAGATGGACTATTCGCGAGTCCAGTGGAAACTCCCCCCCCCCCCTCCTTCTCTCTCCAGTGCATAACATCGATCCCCGTCCACTTCCACCGTGACCCGTGAAAGCCACGGCAAGTTCAGTTTCACCAGGGATCGATTCCTAACGCGGTTCGAGCGATCGCCGGTCAATTCCTCCGGCATCAATTTCTCGAGGGAATGTCATTTACATTTCATTGAGTGATGCGTTCCCCGATTTGTAACAAAGCTACAACAGCGGAACGCAGAACGGTGGCGCGGTGGTTTGGCGCGTCGTGCTCTCAGCCCGGTAAGCCGAGTTCGATTCCCTAACATCAGTGGCGAGTAATACATAAACGTCCCTTCCCTGAACCAGCATGCACTGACCAGCGTGGTGAAGTATAGTCAAACAATTTCCATGACCAAAACAGCGTGGTGGAGTCCTTCATCAATTGGTGGTTAGAAATATACAGCAGGCGTCAGGGTCGGGGTCGAACCCACGTCCTCCTGCATACCAGTCGAGGTAGTTAACGTCTCGCCACCGTGACACCCAAGTGAGTTGGCTTGAGCAAGACGCGTGACGTATAGAAGAGAGGATGATGGTCGTTGGTTGAGATTAGCGACAGCTGGAGGGATAATGTCATCCTCGCAGCGACTTTTTGCTCAGCCATCGAACAAAGACGGCCACTGCATCGCGCGCTTTCAGATCTACTTCTGTGGCTGTCTGGAATGTTCTTTCTTCCGATATTACGAAGCCACTGGAGCTATGCACTTTTAAATCGAAATTTTTAAAATATTTTTTTCAGAACTACCTTTTGTGCTTCGTTTGTTGTCCTTCCCCCACACCTCCGATTAACGCGGTTGGCTACGTAGGATACGAAATAAGTTCAACATACGTATGCAGGGTTGGTGCTAATGACTGTTCAATGAAGTGAACGGTGGTTGATATTGACAGGCAGGGTAGGCAGGCGTCACAAATGTGGCTATTTTGAAAATGTCTCAGAGGGGTCCCCCCATTCCACGTTGTGACAGAAGGAGTTCGAGCAGGGAGTAGCCGTCACCTGAAGTGAGACAGGCACAAGCTTTGCGTCAAATCTGCAGTCAAGGACAGGTCTTGGCGCTCCCTCGCCCAGAGGAT